CATTAGATTCTTCTGGTTTCTATCGGATTCTAGTGGTCTTCAACTACCATTAGGCTCTACTGGTTTTGTAAAGGTGTCTAATGGTTTGACTTAGGATTTTTACACCCATGTTAAAACCATTAGATTCTTCTGGTTTCTATCGGATTCTAGTGGTCTTCAAAAGCATTAGGCTCTACTGGTTTGTTAAGGTTTCTAATGGTTTGACTTAGGATTTTTACACCCATGTTAAAACCATTAGATTCTTCTGGTTTCTATCGGATTCTAGTGGTCTTCAAAACCATTAGGCTCTACTGGTTTTGTAAAGGTGTCTAATGGTTTGACTTAGGATTTTTACACCCATGTTAAAACCATTAGATTCTTCTGGTTTCTATCGGATTCTAGTGGTCTTCAAAACCATTAGGCTCTACTGGTTTGTTAAGGTTTCTAATGGTTTGACTTAGGATTTTTACACCCATGTTAAAACCATTAGATTCTTCTGGTTTCTATCGGATTCTAGTGGTCTACAAAACCATTAGGCTCTACTGGTTTTGTAAAGGTGTCTAATGGTTTGACTTAGGATTTTTACACCAATGTTAAAACCATTAGATTCTTCTGGTTTCTATCGGATTCTAGTGGTCTCCAAAACCATTAGGCTCTACTGGTTTGTTAAGGTTTCTAATGGTTTGACTTAGGATTTTTACACCCATGTTAAAACCATTAGATCCTACTGGTTTATATCGGATTCTAGTGGTCTTCAAAACCATTAGGCTCTTCTGGTTTGTAAAGGTGTCTAATGGTTTGACTTAAGATTTGTGCATCCATGTTCAAACCATTAGATCTTACTGGTTTCTACTGGTCTTTAAACCATGACAGTCTACTGGTTTGTAAAGGTTTATACTGGTTTTACTTTACAGTTCCGCCTGATCACCATTAGACTCTAATGGTTTCTTGAAAACCAGTAAAACCATTAGAATGTCTCTACTGGTTTCTACTGGTTTCTAAAGGAATTTCGACCTGGGTTATTAAATGCCTAAAAACTCTGAGCTTCATGGGGCTCCGCCCCTGGACCCCACGCCAATTTACGCGCCACTTGCTTTGCCCTATTTGATCGCAAATACTTTGCCCCCCCCCCCCCTTTCTCCCACTTTGAAATGTAACATGTAAGAGCGGTGATGATTCGGATTTTTTTTCTCCCCCCCCCCCAAAAAAAAAGAGAAAAGTTTTTGCTCATTACGTCACTCCTCCCTCGTTCCTCGCGTTTCGTCCCCCCCCCCCCCCCCGGTCATGAAAAGAAATCGCCGCCCTAGTAATTGAGATATATAATTTCCAAACGGGAATAGCGAATCGGTTGATTTTAGTCAAGAAACATTGTTTTTTTTAGCTTAATTAATATCTTGACCTTGAGATCGAGGGAGCTATATAACAAAAAGAGTTTATTACTTACAATTTAATAACTTTAGACTCGATTTCAACCGCGACAACGAGCACTGAATATTGTAGGATCGCATATGCTTCCAATATATTTGTTTGAACGAAATTCATGACCCCATACCAAAACTTTGTATTACCTTTAACACCAGTAATAAGAATAATCATGACAGCAATGATAATAATAACAATAATAACGACGTTAAAATTAACAATAATAATGAAATAAGATTAATAATAGTAATGAAGAGTAAAAACGTTTTATACCGCATTATAATAATAATAATAATAATAATAATAATAATAATAATAATAATAATAATAATAATAATAATAATAATAACGAGTAACTGATAAAAGCGCTGTGCAATGAGTTGGACACAACTTGCCCAGTGACCAATCGTTTCGAGATCATTCTATAAACAATTGAACATCATGGTGTATAAGGCCTTAGCACTAGCTTAGAGGGGGTCATATTTACCGACAAATTCAGAAAACCATTCTCTTAACATCATTACAGATTATCATTATAAAACTATATGGTATTGCCCGGTATATACGTAGCGATCATTCAATGCATGATATTGAACTGTTTTAGGATTAATATTCATAATGCACTGAACATTGTATACTAGATTTATTAATAATAGCCAATTAAGATAATAAATGTGTTTCATATATATTGCGAGTACCTGTTTGTGTACATGTATTTTGTGATGAAAGTTTGAGTGTGTTGTCATAAAAAAACCTTTCTCTAGCTGTTGGTGTCGACAGCCGATTAGATGACTGTATTAGTAGAGCTATGTATTGTGGTAGTGAGGTTCATTCACTCGACTCTCAATGCCTCAATCTAAGGGTTCGGGGTTCGAATTTCCTCCTCTCCACCCTGCTGTAAATAGATTACTGGCGATAAGTTGATCTCTGATTTCATTGCTACTTTTCCTCATCCATGTTATTTCTCAAATGATGTAAGTATCCTCATTAGCTGTAGTACAACTAACATGATAATATTGCTCAAGGCATGGCCACACAGAGGATTTTTTATGTTAGGAACCGGGTAAAATGCAATAAATTATTGAAAAATTATTGCATTTTCTATTTTTTTATTTTATTTATGGAAACTGCCCCCTACCATAGCCCCCGCTGCGTACAGTCATGGTTCAGTGATAAAGCAATGGCCTCGTAACTGTGAGGCCCCAGGATAAAAACCGTGTCGATGTGCTATATTAGTGCCCTTTTGTGGGGCATTAATCCTCATTACTGTCATTTGTGACTTAAGGGCATAGGTCTTAAGCAGTCACGCAAAAGACACACTTGCACATTATTATTCAATAAAAACTGAGAATGTATACTTTTATCTAGATCTATTATTTTTAAATTATTTTTAAAATAATTCCATAAATTGGGGTAAAAAAAAAAATTCCACCTATATGAGCGACAGTGTAAATCCAGATCTTGTGTTATAAGTGCAATTACAGCCGGACAGCAGTGACCGTGACGTTCTGACAATGTTTAGCAGTATGATTCGATCAAGACCCTTTTGATCAGAATTCATTGGCGTGAGCCAACGCAAAACCCACATTAATTCATTCTACATTGTGCCACTCTCTACCCAGAGAGAGAAGGAAAGGGAGATACAGAGAGAGAGAGAGAGAGAGAGAGAGGGATAGACATAGAGAGAGAGAGAGAGAGGGAGAGAGGGATAGACATAGAGAGAGAGAGAGAGAGAGAGGGATAGACATAGAGAGAGAGAGAGAGAGAGGGAGAGAGGGATAGACATAGAGAGAGAGAGAGAGAGAGAGGGATAGACATAGAGAGAGAGAGAGAGAGAGAGGGATAGACATAGAGAGAGAGAGAGAGAGAGGAGAGAGGGATAGACATAGAGAGAGAGAGAGAGAGAGGGATAGACATAGAGAGAGAGAGAGAGAGAGGGAGAGAGGGATAGACATAGAGAGAGAGAGAGAGAGAGAGGGATAGACATAGAGAGAGAGAGAGAGAGAGGGAGAGAGGGATAGACATAGAGAGAGAGAGAGAGAGAGGGATAGACATAGAGAGAGAGAGAGAGAGAGGGAGAGAGGGATAGACATAGAGAGAGAGAGAGAGAGAGGGAGAGAGGGATAGACAGAGAGAGAGAGAGAGAGAGAGAGAGGGATAGACATAGAGAGAGAGAGAGAGAGAGGGAGAGAGGGATAGACATAGAGAGAGAGAGAGAGAGAGAGAGAGGGATAGACATAGAGAGAGAGAGAGAGAGGGAGAGAGGGATAGACAGAGAGAGAGAGAGAGAGAGAGAGAGACAGAGACAGGGAGAGAGACAGAGAGTGACAGATTTCACAAAGGAAGTTTGTCTGAGGTCTAAGTTTTCCCGTTTTTGTTTGTTTTATTTTATTTCTGCATATATTTCAATATAATAACAATGTACAAACTAAGTACTATATATTAGTAAGAAAATTAACAAAACATATATTATATCATAGAATAAATCCATTAAATATTCATACCTTTAAAAAAAAAACATAATTGACAAATCATTTAAAATTTGAAAAATGCAGGAGACTGCCATCTTAAGCTAGAGCTTGAACGTCTTGGCGGCCTCAGAAAAGGAACCTATTTGGGCGATCAGATACATACATGTACATGTATATAAACAGAAATAATTTATTATAACAGACTGAGACACATAAAGAAGGAAATCAATTGTTTAAAAATATGTAATGAATCTTCCTTGTAATTTACAATTGTTTGAAAATGTTATGAATAATTGATTGGCACTTGTGATAGCTGGTTCCATATGAATGTATATACAGTCAAACCTGTCTACAGCGACCGCCAGGCACGTACGCAGGATTTTTTCAAGGGGGGGGGGGGTCTTACATTTTTAAATCGGGCTGAAAATTTCGCAACGACTCAGCCAGTCGCTGAATAAGCGGGGAGGGGGGGGGGGAGTAAGAGGACACTTCTTTCTTTTTTTTTTTGGTCCAAAAAAAAATCGCAACGACTCGGCCATTTCCTGAATAAGCGGGGGGGGGGGGGGGGGGGGGGGGGGGGGGGGGGGGGGGGGGGGGGGCTAAGAGGACACTTTATTGGGGGGGGGCCGGGGTCTCGAAATTTGAAAAATTTACATTTTTCTCTGTTGGGGGAGGTCAACTTTTTTAGGTCAGCCATTGATATATTTTTTTATTTATTTTTGTTTAAATTTAAAAGGGGGTTTTCCTTCAAAATACACACATAAAAAATACCAAAGGGGGATTCAACCACCAACCCCCCCCCCCCCCCCCTGCGTATGCGCCTGGCGACCACCCAAGGAAAACACAAAAAGTGCTTGTTGTAGACAGGTGGTCACTAAAGCGGGTTTGACTGTACATAATATTACCATAATGTTATTAAAGGGGAAGTCCACCTGATATTTGGTTGGGTTTTGATAAAAAGAGACAAATTAGAGAAACAGATCAGTAAAATTTTGAGAAATATACGATTGAAAATAGAAAAGTTATGAAATTATAAAGTTGTCATCAGTGAAACAAAAAATGTAATTTGCTCTGTACAGAAAATCTTATAAACTTTCATTTTCTTACAAGGGTTGTATAAAAAAATAATTAAATTGTCATATTTAAGGTGAATGTATGATTGTGATTTTTCAAAAGGGAAAACACAATTATTTTTGGTTATTGGTTGCAAGATACGTCACAGAGTTGCAAATCTGTGTTTGGTTCATCACACCTTCAACAATTCATAACTTTTTCATTTTGAGACAATTTTTGCTCAACCTTTCACTGACATATTTCTCCAATGTTTCTACTCCTATTAAAACCCACTTAATATGAGGGTCGACTTCCCCTTCCACAAAGGCATCAGTTGTATTTTGCAGAGGGAATAAATGCTTCATCTACTGATCATTCTCTGGTGGTAGTAGAAGCTCTGTTTCATCATTAATGTATGTATTGATTGGTAGACGGCTCATCTACTGATCATCCTCTGGTGGTAGTAGAAGCCCTGTTTCATCATTAACATCTGCATTGATTGAATGATAGACGGCTCATCTACTGATCATTCTCTGGTGGTAGTAGAAGCCCTGTTTCATCATTAACGTCTGCATTGATTGATAGACGGCTCATCTACTGATTATCCTCTGGTGGTAGTAGAAGCCCTGTTTCATCATTAACGTCTGCATTGATTGAATGATAGACGGCTCATCTACTGATCATTCTCTGGTGGTGGTAGAAGCCCTGTTTCATCATTAACGTCTGCATTGATTGATAGACGGTTCATCTACTGATCTTCCTCTGGTGGTAGTAGAAGCCCTGTTTCATCATTAACGTCTGCATTGATTGATAGAGGGCGATTTCTATTTTCTCTTCCAAATCCCCTGCATTGTAGGGCACTGTGTACAAGGAAATAGAGGGAGGAAGAGAGATATACTTAGTTATTTTATAAGAAGATGACGTGGATCCCAATCAAAAGATTGGTTGAAAGCGTACACATGACCAGGCATTTATTTTGCCTAACAAGTTATTTGGATAATGACTGGTCATTATCCAATGGTAATGATCGGTCATTATCAAAATCATGTTATAAGACATCTTTTATTAAAAAAATAAAACATAATACTATAAAACAAATAATACACATCATTTTGTTTGGGCATTAGTGTAATTACCCACACTCGGTGCCTTCAAACAGTCCAAACGTATCTTGTGTGGGTAATTCTTACTAATGCCCTCACTGTTGTGTATTATTTGTATACTAATGAAACTAAATTGTAATGAATAATAATAATATTAATATTGGTAATGATAATAATAATAATAATTACAATGTAATCTTGTGTTTGTAATTACACTGGATATATGAACAAACATTGAATATAATGTAAACATAATGTGAATGTTCAAGTGATATATGTTTATTCTCACTAAACTCTTTTTTTTTGGTAATGTACCATGTCACATGTACATTTATTTTTATTTTTTGTATGTGAATAAAGCATGTAAACGTAACAAATTTCCATTTGGACCAATAAATTAGAATGACTGGTAGGTGTATTAGAACAAATCCCTGTATCCCTTTTCAAGAGAAATACAAATATTAAAAAAGTAAAAGGAAAACCGATCCGCTTGGTGAGTATCAGAGGGATGGTGAGATATTTTTTATTAAGGTTATGGTGGGAAAAACAAAACCACCACACAAACAAACATTCAGGCTCCATTAAAACTACACCTCATGGACATGAAAAACCCCCGTGGGGGGCGACACTAATACCTTGGTAATAGTAGACGCTACCCATTGGTATCAGTATTAGTGTAATATTGGGATGGTATCAGTATTAGTGTAATATTGGGATGGTATGAGTATTAGTGTAATATTGAGATGGTATCAGTATTAGTGTAGTATTGGTATTGGTATCAGTATTAGTGTAATATTGAGATGGTATCAGTATTAGTGTAGTATTGGTATTGGTATCAGTATTAGTGTAATATTGGGATGGTATCAGTATTAGTGTTATATTGGGATGGTATCAGTATTAGTGTAATATTGGGATGGTATCAGTATTAGTGTAATATTGGGATGGTATATCAGTATTAGTGTAATATTGAGATGGTATCAGTATTAGTGTAATATTGGGATGGTATCAGTATTAGTGTAATATTGGGATGGTATCAGTATTAATGTAATATTGGGATGGTATCAGTATTAGTGTAATATTGGTATTGGTATCAGTATTAGTGTAATATTTGTATTGGTATCAGTATTAGTGTAATATTGGTATTGGTATCAGTATTAGGGTAATATTGGTATTGGTATTAGTGTAATATTGGTATTGGTATTGGTATCAGTATTAGTGTAATATTGGTATTGGTATCAGTATTAGTGTAATATTGGTATTGGTATCAGTATTAGTTTAATATTGGTATTGGTATCAGTATTAGTGTAATATTGGGATGGTATCAGTATTAGTGTAATATTTGTATTGGTATCAGTATTAGTTTAATATTGGTATTGGTATCAGTATTAATGTAATATTTGTATTGGTATCAGTATTAGTGTAATATTGGTATTGGTATCAGTATTAGGGTAATATTGGTATTGGTATTAGTGTAATATTGGTATTGGTATTGGTATCAGTATTAGTGTAATATTTGTATTGGTATCAGTATTAGTGTAATATTGGTATTGGTATCAGTATTAGGGTAATATTGGTATTGGTATTAGTGTAATATTGGTATTGGTATTGGTATCAGTATTGGTGTAATATTTGTATTGGTATCAGTATTAGTGTAATATTGGTATTGGTATCAGTATTAGGGTAATATTGGTATTGGTGTTAGTGTAGTATTGGTATTGGTATCAGTATCAGTGTAATATTGAGATGGTATCAGTATTAGTGTAATATTGGGATGGTATCAGTATTAGTGTAATATTGGGATGGTATCAGTATTAGTGTAATATTGAGATGGTATCAGTATTAGTGTAATATTGGGATGGTATCAGTATAATATTGGGATGGTATCAGTATTAGTGTAATATTGGTATTGGTATCAGTATTAGTGTAATATTGAGATGGTATCAGTATTAGTGTAATATTGGTATGGTATCAGTATTAGTGTAATATTGGGATGGTATCAGTATTAGTGTAATATTGGGATGGTATCAGTATTAGTGTAATATTGGGATGGTATCAGTATTAGTGTAATATTGGTGTTGGTATCAGTATTAGTGTAATATCGGGATGGTATCAGTATTAGTGTAATATTGGGATGGTATCAGTATTAGTGTAATATTGGGATGGTATCAGTAGTAGTGTAATAAATATTGGTATTGGTATCAGTAGTAGTAGGTATGGTATCAGTATTAGTGTAAATGAATTGAGGTTTTCTTGTCTGTAAAGATGCAGCGAAACGAGTATGGTATCATTATTAGTGTAATGTCGGTATTAGTGGTAGTATGAAATATGCCAACCTTAACATTCTGCTCCTCAGGGAGGATTCATTCAGAAATCAGTGAGGCATTAAAATTTGTGTTGAGTGACAAATAAAAATATAAAAAAATGTTCAGGGAGGGTTGGCATCTCTGTAGCAGTAGTGGTAGTATGCCTTATAGTAGTAGTAGTGGTGGTGGTGGTGGTAGTAGTAGAAGAGAAAGATGAAAACTTACCCTGTAATGATAAAAGGGATGAATAATAAAGCAGACATGAAGAAGAAGACTGTAGTTGATAATACGTCGATAGTACTGTAGTATATTCCATTCACAATGGGTGAGGCAAGAAACGAACACAGACCATCCAATACACCAAGCGAAGCAAACAATGCCCCTAAAAAGAATAAAATCAGGGGTAAAAAACTTTTATCATGAGACAACCTTCACTCAATTCTACTGTTTTGTTCACAACAATATTATTTTCTTAAATAATAGATAATAGTACTTTAGCACATTGCTTAATAAATGCATGATAACACGATGGTCTGTATATGCATGTTAGAACATCACTGTATTTATGTCATACAAACTTAAACTACACATTAATGAAAGATTGTGTTTTCATTTAAGATTTAAATTGATCCAACTGAGTTTATTCCAGAGTTCTGGTGCTATTTTTTGATTTTTTCTTTTGAGATTAGGTCTGCACAGGAATTTGAAAGAGCATTTTTAGTTATATTTGGACTCAGATTGTGTTTGGGTGCATATACTAGGGCTAATGCACGAATATAGACAGGTGCAATGCCATATATACATTTGATTACCAGGAGAAGTAGTTTATATGAAACCTTATATTTTACCATGTTCATGATCCTGCACGACTGTTGAGAGGAATGTACGTATGACAGGAACGCCAAGGAGTTTGAACAATCCTAGAAAAGTACCTATGGAAAAGAAATATAAGAATTCAGGATTGTCTCTGACAAATAGCTGGTACCCAACGTTAATAGAATAACATCTATAATTGTGAAAATAATTCAACATGATACTAATTGTCTTGCATTTGTAACGAAGGATGAAGTAGACATGGTCATATATGTGCATTGAAATTAGATAAGTTGATGAAATGAGTTAACTTACTTGCAAAGATGTGAAAAGCATATTAAACAAATGAAATTGATTGCAAAGATGATATTAGTAGGAAATATGAGTGAAATTACTCGCAAAGATATGAAAAGTAGATGGAACGTGTGAACTTACTTGTAAAGATGTGAATAGCATATTAACAAATAAAATTAATTGCAAAGAAAATATTAGTAGGAAATATGAGTGAAGTTACTCACAAAGATATGAAAAATAGATAATAGGTGTGAACTTACTTTAATATAATATATATATTAGGCTTCCTGAGAGAAGTTTCAACTGTTGAAAGGTAATTTTTGGCTTGCACCAAGTAAATGAAGGTCACATACTTAAAAACATGTCAGAAAAAATATTGGAACCAGCAGGATTTGTACCTGCCATCTACAGCTTGCTGGGCAGCAACTCTACCACCAGGTCATCACTGGTCCATGAGACAGTCACGATGAATTGGAAACAAGTAGGCGTGGTCTTATAGCCATGTGCACTGAGATGAGAATAGTAGATTGAATGTGTAAACTTACTTGCAAAGATGAGAATTGTAGATGATTGTTTAAAGTTACTTGCAAAGACGAGAATGTGTGAACTTACTTGTAAAGATGAGAATTGTAGATGATTGTTTAAAGTTACTTGCAAAGACGAGAACGTGTGAATTACTTGTAAAGATGAGAATAGCAGATAGAATGTGTATTAGATGGAAATGGTAGATTAAATTAAATTATACTAAATGCTGGGCCATTAAAACAAATTAATGGTGTCTTCAAATCGGCTTTAGAAGAGGAAAATATATTGAAGAAGAGATTTGAAATTAACCTTAAATAAACCTTATTTTATACAACAAATGAATAAGCAAATTCAAGAGTAAGAATTCTTTTACAAAATCAATCCTGCAGGGAATATCAGCTGTTGACATTGATTAAACAATTCAAATTAGATCTAGATCTATCAGAGTCTAGAAACGGAACAAAGTCAAAAGATGTCCAGAGTCTATATGGACTGTGGTAATTATTCAAATCTGAAGAAATTTATGATGCGAGAGTTAATGATAATTTAACTTATGATTGTCTCTTCAAACTTTCACTGATGGATTTTTGCTGGAGAAAATTAGTAGAAGCTGAAGTAAAGTAACTGCACGCAAAATCTCAGACAATTTTAATAACAATAATATAATAGATCACAATTATAACGCGCCTAATACTTGTTTCTAGGCGTAGTATATATTATGACCCCAGTCATCGGATTTAGGCTTACCTGCACACAATGTATGCACATTCTCCACTCACTGGGGAGTATTCCGGCCAGTCACCATTTTACAAGCGCGCACTTGCTCATCCAACCACATTAACTTTTGCATCCTATCAGATACCCATTTAACACCTGGGTGGAGAGTGGAAAATGTAGATTAACGTCCTGCCAATTGCCAAAGGATATTAGTGCTGCGGCGGGACTCGAACCCTGTACCTTGTGATAGATCTGCAGTCGGGTGACTTATCCACTAGAACACGCCCTAATAAAAAAAATTTCGAGTTTACAGAAGAACAGTCAACGTATTATGACGTTTATGTATCAAAGATGTAAAAGCACCAAGTTTTATTAGCGCTTATTTGTTTATGATTATAATTATATGATTTATATCAAACATGCCTACTCAGTAAACATGCACAAATACTATCTATATATGTATGTCCGAAATGTACATACTTCATATAGCACAACAAGTTCACAAAATTAGTACATCATCTAAATAGGAAGGTCCTTATTTAGCCAACCGATTGTCTCATCATTGAGCTCTCGAAGTCCAGAAGCACTGTGAGGGGATTTGTAGATAGGACAAGCATCGATGACATGATCCAAAGTTTGGGTCTCTCCGCAGACACAGTTTGCCAATGGATCAGCTCCAATTTTATGCAGGAAAAATTGTGCACGGCGAACTCCAGATCTGATACGGTCGAGGTTAACCCAGGCTTTTCTTGAGAGGTCGCTACCGCTTGGATTTGCACAGGGCTCTGGGATGAACTCCTTGAAGTTGGTAGTAGACTTATTCCACTGCAGGTCTGACCAGCGTTTTGCTATCCAAGTGGGTAAGGTGGAGGGAGGCTTCTCAAGCGGCAGCTCAGCAGCCTGTGTTGCAAAGTGTCTTCTAGGGAAACGATGTCCTTCAAAGGCAGAGGAGGAAGGAACAAGGCATTTATCTCTGTCATGCTTTTGGGCATGCTTATAGTGTACTGCGCATATCGTCTGAGCTGAGCTGGTGGTATGCCAGACAGTATTGGCAGGTTGCTGACAGGTGTTGCAGTGAGAGTTCCGCTGATTAGTCTCATAGCATCCTTGAGGCATGGGCGTAAATCCTTACGTAATACCTATTGTTCAGGGGGGGGGGGATGAATGAATAGATCATCCTCCCCTGAACAATAGGTATCAATTGCAGATTTACGCCCATGCATTGAGGACAACATCAACCTTGTGTACATGGGTGCTGTGGCTCCATGCAGGTGCAGCAAACACCAGGCAAGAGCTAGAGTGGAGAAGGAAATTAGAGCTAGAGTGGAGGTGCGAAGGGTGGTGAAATCAGCTCCCCATCCGGTTCCTGCAAGCTTCTTTTAAGGAAAGACACTCTTGCTTGGGTCTTTTGAGCTGTGGCTTTGGCATGCTCGTGGAAGGTGAGGCTTTGATCAAGAGGGACATCTAGGTACTTTGGTGTAGGGTCGAAATTCAGCCTAGACCCATTCAGTAAGATATTCAACTCTCGATTGGCGCATCAGTTTGCCAGATGGAAGACGGAGGATACAGTCTTCGGTATGCTTATCTTGAGATGCCATCTGTTGAAGAACTCAGCTAGCATACTCCGGTCCTTCTCCAGTGATGTTTTGATTGCCTCGAAGGAGTGATTGTCGAACCCTAGTGCAGTGTCGTCTGCATAGCAATACTACCGTACATGCATTTCCCCTTGGGCATATCAGAGACATAAGATGTTGGAAAGTATATGAGCGAGGACAGAGCCTTGCGGCACAACATTGCGGAGTCTCCTCTTCCTACTGCATTCGCCATTTGATGTTTCAAGAACAAATGACCGATCTTGTACAAGAAGCATGATGAATTTCACAATTCTCATGGAATGATCTGCAGGGTCTTGAGGTATAAGCTATGGGTGCCATACTGTGTCAAATGATGCAGTAAGGTAGACAAGAACTGCACCAAACTTCTGCTGCTTCTGGAAGGCCGTCTCTATGTTGTTTACAAGCCGGACCACTTGGTCGGTGGTTGATTTACCTTTCCTGAAACCTGTCTGTGTAGTAGGTAGCTTCTCTTCGACAGTGTCAACGATACTGGCAAGTAGCTTGTAGATGTGAGATAGCTCTTGTCTGTATTCTTGGGCTTCAGAATGGCAATAACTTTAGCGGTCTTCCATTTTGATGGAATAGTGGATGTTGCCATGCAGGTAGAGAGAAAGGCTTGTAGCCAGGAAGTAGCTTTGTGACTCATGTTATTGCGGAACTCTGTGTGGATGTTATCATTGCCTGGTGCTTTGCCGGACTTTATTGATTTCAGTGTAGTTTCAACCTCATCCAAGGTGAAGGCTTCAGACATGGAGGTTGACTCTGGAGTGGACTTGAGGAGGTTCTTTATCTCAGAGGTCACAGAGCGAGAGTGGGTTTAGGCCTAAGTGGTTTTATCTTACCACTTTCCATTGTTAACTAGGATTGAAGTAATGGAGTTTGCAGTAACAGAACACTGTTTTGGAGCACTGCTTCGACCAGTGAGTTTGTTGATGGTAGTCCAAGCCTTGCGACTAGACTGGGTAAAGTTGATCCCAGAGACTTCTTCTTCCCATCTAATCTTCCTCTTTTCTCCTAGTAATAGCAGCAGGTCGTTCTCTACGGCCTCTCTTTCTTCAATGGTCTTGGACTTAGCACAGGATTCATACAGACGATCCCATTCTTCATCCAGCATGGAATATACGGGTGTCTTTTGCCCCTGGGGATGAAGGGTTTTGCCGCCTGATGTAACATGGAGCAGAAAGCAGAGTAGGAGTCATTCATATTGCTAGTGGAGGGGTCTGGCAGTCGAGATGTTAGTTTGTTTGTGAGTTCCTGGTACTTGGGCCAGTCAGCTTTTCTGAAATTCCATCTCTTCTTTGGTAGGTTGGAGAGTTGAAGCTTGAGGTCGCTTGAGATGATGATTGGACAGTGGCCAGACCTCGGGAACTTTGGAAGGACAGTTCTTGAGCAGGTGTGTCTGATGTTTGATGAAACCAGTGACAGATCGGGGCAAGTCCATGATTGTTGCTCCCTGAGTAGAATGTGGGGTTGTCCTTGCTGTCATACAGTATCACTACCTCCTGAGATTCAAGCCATTAAAAAATGAGCTTTCCATTCTTGTTGGTCTTAGGGTATCCCCAGGCAGTGTTGCGACTGTTGAAATCTCCGCAGACAAAGGAGTTCCGGGGCATCTTTGGGAAGAGTATGATTTCAACATCTACAGGTGGTGGCTTATACAAATTGCAGAAGTGGGTTCCCATGGCGTCAAAGGTGCTCCACTGTAGAGCTGAGTTCACAGGAGATCGCCCGGTGGTGGATGCTTTTATGCCTTGTTTGACATAGGATGCAATTCCATGCTTCTTGTGTGGTATGAAGCAGATCAGATCGAAACCTTCAGTCAAAGGTGACGCCTTAGACGCAGAATTCTGAATAAATCGCCTATAGTAACCAGCGAGACCGAGAAATGACCCAAAAAGGCGCATTGCAAACCTTCTCACAGATCTTTCCTCGCGCTCTACAACATGACCAAGGAACTCAACACTTGTGCACCCTAACTGACATTTACTAGGGCAAGCAGTCAAACCTGCTGCTCTCAACCTCCTGAACAACTCACTAAGTGCAACCAGTTGATCATCCCACGTGGAAGTGTCCAAGGTGTTTCATAAATCTGTTCGTAAAGTTACACATGACTTTACAAACGACTTGAATATGAAGTGCCAGATAGGATGCCCAAAGTTTTTCCTGATGTTTTAACAAAGTGTGACTTTATTTCCAATAACCTCAATTAAATTATAGCAAAAAATATACTTTGTATTAAAATGTTTGTTATAAATAATAAGAATGTTAATTTACATCTGCACAGTTCAAGTTGAGTTGATGCAAATAAAAATTATATAGTATCCCATTTGGCTTTTCATATTTAAGTCATTCATAAAGTCATGCATGACTTTACGAACAGCTTTATGAAACACCCCCCTGGACTGTCATCTATGTAGTAGTAGTAGTAATAGCTGTCTGTCACAAAGCGACAATGACCGTCTTCACTTTCATGAAGGCTGCTTGCAAAGGTGGGTAAGTACTAGTAGCTCTTGCAAGTTACTAATGGCACTCCCTTGGGGAACTGGTGGCAGTTTCACACCGGCGAGGACAAGCCAGGACGGATGTTAACCACTAGACTCTGCAGTGACTGGTCAAAGGATGTCGGGAGTTCCATATCGTTAATCGCCCTCAATGCTGTCACATTGGTATGGTTTTCTGTTAGGGTTTGCTCCCTTAGCCTTAGATTCTAAAGAGCAGGGAAAAAATTAATATTTTTTTTTTTTCGGGGGGTATTTTTCAAACTTGCCTGCATGAAATTAACACTCTAAAATGTGTTATGCATTGAATTCTATGCAAATTTACAGGGGCTCTTTTCTGATTTTTGGGGGCTCTTTTGGGCATTTTAGGGGCTATTTCGCCCAGAGCCCCCGTGTATTTTTTTCACTGCTAAAGAGAACGTGAACCACAAGGCAGTGGTTACAACTATGTATGGCAATAACAATTAACATTTATTAAAAGAATGAGGCGATTACAATTACTTGTATGTTGGTTAAGTTAAGAGTACTAATTGAGTACAACCAAATACTACTTTTAAGTACTTCATTGATTATAGAGCTGTGATAAAAACAATGATTATAATAGAAAAACAAAGTTTTTTTCCCTCGAAATAAGTGCACAAATTTTAAGGAAATAGAGAGTAGATCGAAATACCTTACGTTATCAAATTAATTTGATTAATAAATTGAGAAACTGATTATAATATATTATGAATCAATTGATTTGGTTGAACCAGAATTAGAATTACTGGTAGAATTAGAATTAGAATTGTCATCTATGTAGTTGGTGACATTACTTATGCCCCTCTACAGAGATCTCACACCCTACTGAACAGGGCTCAAATTAATTTTTTGTCCACGGGGGCTCTTCCAGATGTTTCTGCCCTTGCGCGATCGCCTCCAGCTCCAGCAGACATGCGCGGCAGCGTGCATACGTACCACTACTAACGGCACAGTAGGCCTATAACCACTGCTGACGGCGGCACTGCAGTTGCGAGCTGAATTGGTAATATAGGCCTACTCATAAAACGAGAAATCTTGCACGCTAATCTAAGTTCCATTTCATTGGTTTAAGGTTTGAAATTGAAACTCAATATTGTGTTAAAGTTATAACAGAAAAGATAATCTTTATTTTATAATTCCACGGGGGCGATTTTTAATTTTGCAATCGCCCCCGTGAGCAACTTGACGGGGGCGATTATGTAGCTCACGGGGGCGAATCGCCCACCGCCCCCGTGTATTTTGAGCGCTGCTACTGAATGTTGCATGTGCGTTTACAAGCCCAAACAGCATCACTAGAAAATGTAATAAACCACTAGAACTACGAAAAAGCAGCCTTTTTCCTAGCATCACCTGACAGTGCTATTTGCCAGTAGCCTTTGCTCAAGTCTAATTTTGAGAAATATCTTGACCCTGACCCTGACAAACCAGCAAACAACCCGTCCACACTTGGGAGAGGTTCTGTATGAAATACAGTAATTTTTATTCAATCAACACCTATATACAAAACCTATTGCCCCCATCAGGCGTCTTGACAACCACTGTAGGAGACGAATATGGCGACTCTGATTTCTCAATGACACCCATGTCAAGCATCTTATCAATTTCCTCTTCTATAACTCCTCGGAGATAGACAAATTCGGTCCAAATTTCACATTCTCGACCATTTCCTGAGCCTCTGAAGACAGAACTTGAGTTCGCAAACTACTTGAGACTAAACGACCATCAAGACCTTCATCCACATCATCCTCCTCATCAAAGCTTGATTGATCACATCCATGGCTCCATTCACATTCACATCATCACGCTTGACCTTTCCATCGACCCTGTTCGTATATCTCTTTAATAGATTCACATGGAAAACACACACTTTTCCATTCATATCGAGCCAATAGTCATTTCACTTTAAGCTTACCTACTACTCTGAATATACCGTTCCATTGCAGAAGAAGCTTATTATGATCAGTCGGTAGAAGAATCAAGACCTTATCTCCTGAGACAACATTTCTCTTCCTCGCTTTGGCATTGTAATTGCCTGCATACCTAGAAACTGCCAAATACGTAGCTCCTCATGAGCTGCCTTCAAAGGACTCTCCAAAGTAAAACGTTCCTTGAGATCCGTCACATACTGATAAGTCAACTTGACATCAGCATCTTTAGGCTGTCCACTCCACAACTCTTTGAGAATTTCAAGTGGACCTCAAACCTGCCTACGATAGATGATTTGAATGGCAAAAAACCAAGTGAAAATCGCGCGCAGACCTAACAGGGGCTAAATACCTATCCCAATCTGTCGGTCTATCGCACAAACTCTATTGATAATCTACTGCTTCAATGTCTAAATAACCTCTCAACCAGACGATTACAGGCCGGATGATATGGAAAAGTGGTCAATTGCTTAATGGACAACAACCTACTGACCTCCCGCTTCAAACCTGAAGTGAATTGACTACCATAGTCAGAAAGAATCTCCTGGGGAACACCTGTATGGCAAAACACACCAACTAGAGCCTCAGCTACTGCGGTGGTCTCGACATTAGGTAATGCGACTGCTTCTGATAACGAGATACAAAGTCAACAGTTGTATTAGTATTATACATACGATTCTTCCTAGAACTTACATGATGAATGGGACCTACCAAATCTATAGCTACTCTCATGAAAAGGATATCGATTACAGGCATCTTGCCAATCGGCACCTTGGAAACTCTTCCCTTCTGAGTTGTTCTCTGGCATATATCGCAACTAAAACAAAACCTGACAACATCTGCCGAATACCGGGTCAAAAGAAGCATGTCGAAATCTTCGCTGTGGTTTTCCCAATACCGTGATGTTCACTCAAGATTCCTTCATGGGCTAACTTCAATACTGCCCTTTGATATACCTGTGCTGTGCAACTAACCGTTTTACAGGATTGCTTGAAGTCAATGCTGGTTTAAAAACTCTATATAACAACCTATCCTCCATTATGAAATAAGACCATCACGAACTGTAGCTGAGCCTGTTCTCTGGCCTTCCTCAATGTAGGATCTATCCCTGTTTTTCTCTTAATCTCCTCTGGAGATACATTAGGGATGGCATGACTAAAGGTTGTTGGAGTTGCTGAGACTCTCTAGCTTGCGACCGTGTCTGCACTGCCGTTCCAATAGCACTACCACGACTAGTGTTACTTCCTCCAGAACTATCTAGCTGAAGCACACCAAACTCTGGAGTATCATCCCCAGTCGAACTACTCTCCTGACCATCTGTACCAGTGAAACCACTCTCAGGAATTTCACTTTGAGGTGAACTACTCTCAAAATTATCAACCTGAGACAACCTTAACTTCAGAATTATCAATCTGAGGCAAATCTCTCTCCCAATTCAGAAGAGGATTACCTACCAAATGAACATGTTCTATTTCCCCAAGAACAAGATCAAAGACTGGTGATTTACATGTACATGTATGCTCTTGCAGTTCCTACACAGAAAGGGGACCTAATATCTATCCTAGCCACAGGAAATCGCCAAAATGTCCCGATCTATAAGAATTACACTCAATTTACTTATACCAGTGAACTGATCACGCGTGACTAACAATTTCCTAACAACTTGCCATGAACATCCTGTAACGTGCAGAACACTATAAACAACCTGGGATCCTATCTTCCCATCTACTACAGGCAATTTGCTCCTTAGCTTAAAGCTGACATGCAGCCCACATTACTGATTGAGCTTCTCTCCTCAAAGTAGTCTGCAACATGTGCAATTACAGATAATACAAACAACAGTCCACATGTGTCGGTATTATCAGGTTCTGGGCAACCAGGCAAACACTAGGGATAGTCAACCTTTCCTATCTCTGCTTTAGTACCAGAATTTCTCTCAGCAGCCTTATGCTCGTCTACAAGACCTGCAGCAAGTAACCTACCTTACAATTACCGGTATTAGCAAGATGTTCCAAACATAATCTTCTTAGTCACCGACAGAGATCTAGAGCCACCATTATTCCTCTTCTTATCTCCATGAGATGATTTATCTGGAAATTTCTGTTTCCTACTATCAAAATGCTTGGGCCTACCATTCCCAAATTGACCAATATGAGCCTCAACAAATGTATCAGCAAAACTAATGATTTCCGAAACCGACTGAGGCTTTCGTTCTTTCAGAAACATTTCTGAAATGTTTATAAGACCTTCAGAGGACTTTTCTGTCTCAGACAACTACATCCACCTATCTACTTCTACTTCTACGATGATACTCAGCAGGATCCATAAGTCAGGATGTAGTGCTGAGGAAGTATCCTAGGTAGTGTCCTATCCTAACCAAGTACTGACTTGGAGTCTCACCTGACTCCAAAGGAGAAAATCTAAATTTCTTACGGATACCATCACAAGTCATATTCCCTTGTAGTATTACACTTTCTCTAAAATCAACTTTATCAACCTAGTATTTTGTCTTTCCTAATGTCAGCCTGAATAATTGTCTTCTTATCTTTCTATCATTAAAGAAAATAATCGCAACTTCCAAATTCTTTTTTTAAAGTAATTTCCCCACGGATCCCCATTGAAAAATGGTTAAACACAGTCGCTAATTTAAGATAAGATTTTCCCAACGTGTAGGCTGATTTGAAGACACCATTAAAAAAATTGGCCCAGCTAGCCGTGACCCAAGTGTTTTCCAGCACGCCGCAACCCGAGTGTGCAGTATAAGCTGATTGAATGTGTAAACTTACTTGCAAAGTTGACATTAGTAGATTGAATGTGTGAACTTACTTGAAAAGATCAAATGTGTCAACTTACTTGCAAAGATGAGAATAGTCGATTGAATGACGTAGGTGAATGCTAATGCTAGAGTATTAGCTACACAACTCAGATAGCGATCTGTATTATCCACAGGTAGCCAAGTTTGCACCATTGGAAGATGCCTGCTCCACTTACCGTACCTGAAACACACAATAAATGCAATGTATTAGCACACTGTGTAATGTCACTTTCAAAATGACTTTTCCCCAATTTGTTTAACTATTGTTCCTACATTAAACAAAAAAGGAAACTTAAGACTCTACAGTCTTGGGTTGCACATCATCTACTTTAAATGAGAGAGGGAGCATAGCAACAGAGAAAAAAGTATTTTGGAAACGTTGGACCTTTTTCAAAGGAAATACTATTCTTGGGAACCACTTCTATCTTTACTCATAATAATAATAATAATAATAGGCAGTTCTATAGCGCCATCTATCTAGATAATTCTATGCCGAGGCACTTTATTATACCCAGGCTCTAGCCTAGCAGCCGTTTATACAGCGCTCCAGCATTTCAAGGAATTAATTCCTGCCAGGGACCCATTTACATCACCTGGGTTGAGTGTGGCAAATGTAGATCAATGTCTTGCCAAAGGACATTAGTGCCGCAGCGGGACTCGAACCGCGGACCTTGTGATCGACAGTCCGGCGACGTTTCCACTCGACCACGACACCTCTAATCCAAGGGTCCACCTATAATAGCCAGAAAGCCGTTGTGACTCGTTAGCGATGCAAACTCTAATCCATCCCTTAAAATTCAAATTGCACTGCCCCCATATTAAACATTCCATCTCGTTCAGCAATAGCAGAACACGCCCTTAATACTGAACACAACATTCAATGGGATGATACCCACATTATTGAGTTATCCATCTGATAGATGGTTAGTCTTACCAATGCCTGGTATAGCTAGTGAAGTAGTTATAAAGAATCCAATAGTTATTGAGTCCCAGCAAAAGGGTTGTCCTTGCCCATAGAGCACGGTGATGGCAATCCCCCTTGGATCACGATACCAACTAGAAGACTCACAGCAAACATTGTCAGCAGCAGATACAGGCGATTATCTGTTTGAAATAAAAGAGTAAAAAGACAATCATGATATTAATAACACAATAATATTTTTTGTATGCATATCCATGGAATCAGCGTTGATCAGTGCTGTTTTCTAACAAAAGGGCCCCTGCAAATGCATGTAGATCAGATCAGCTCACATAATTATAATTAAAAACTCTACACTTATACCCAAGACCCTACCCTCGCCTGCCATCAGAATGCATGTTGCATTATAAACTACATGTAGTTGCTAATACAGGCAAATCTTATCAATCCAAAATTCCAAGGTCCCAAATTTGCAAGATATGTTACTGTTATTAAGTCATGCAGTTGCTAATCAACATTTATTAAATCCACTACCATTAATTTTGTATATATGTTAAAGGCCCACTGCACTACTTGTAGCTTCTTGCGCCCTCTATATAACAAACCATGCCTAATCGGTGACCATTGGTCCCCCATGATCCTCTTTTTCTTATGTTACTGAGAGCTGAGTTAATGAGATAACCACCTGTCCAGTGACCTTGCAGGGCAGTTTAATCCCCCCTGTAAACTATGGCAGTACGCTTTAAATTCTATGGGGAGTAGTCTAAATAGAATTTAACAAATATACAAAATTAACGGTAGGGAATTGTTAGAATTTCTACTAGAATTTTAGTCACTATCCATAATGAAACTGGTAGAATTTCCTGACCTTTTTCTGGTATACCTTAATCAATTAAAGGTAAAGACCAGTATTGGCAACGCCCAATTTCAAAAAATGAAATGGAAGCTCTCATTACCAATCATGTGAAAGAATATGTTTTGACTAATACATGATGATAAAAAATTT